TTCTCCTGTTTTACAGAACTCTCTTTAACTGGTCTGGATGTATTGTTCCTTAAACCAAGAGTACATCCATATTCTAAAAGTCACTGTAACTTTAAAAAGAGGGCACTCTAGTTGTAACAATCTGATAATTTAAAACTTCATTGCTCTACTTCAAATCAGTATTTATGGCCCCTCAGCTCCAACAGAACTTACTTACTTTTGAGGCATATGTATGTATGTGTATTCACCTGGTACAGTAAACATTCTTGCTTAAAAGATGTATTTTAAACATTTAGCAATTAAATCCACAGGATAATTAATTTCTGAGCAATGGAATTAATGGAGTTTATACTTTGGTACATAATGGCAAACTGACCGATGAAGAGTTTAATGAAGTTACATATACCAGAGCACGCACGGGCAGGCAGTCCTGAACTGAATAAGCAGGTAGGCTTAGCCACATGGAGAGCAGGCCAGTAAGCAGCATCCCCCCTGACCCGGACTTCAGTTCCTGCCTGGGTTCCTGCCCTGTCTTCCCTTCAGGATGGACTTCACTGATCGCAGATTGTTAAAACTGAAAGTTGAAAACATTACCTAAGGCAGTTGCTATATCCATCCCTAATTCTCTCAGTATTTACCATTATTCATTCCCACTAACTTTATTCAATTAAGATCACAAGATAGGGCCTGGGTTGCTCAGCAGTTAATAGCACATACTGGCCATGCAGAAGACCAAAGTTCAGTTCCTGCCCCATGCCAGGTAAGGACTCTACCAGGAGCTACACTCCCAGCACAGAGTAAGAAATTAATGCTCTCAAAGTATAAAGCCTTGGATCGCTAACTTAAATTCTGCTTCTAAAAATACACCTAAGGTGAGCAGGCATCACGAAGGGAAGGGTCCAGCCTTTTGGTTCTTCAATGTTTCTCCAATCCTCGGGAAGACGTCATGGGACAAAGTGAGCTTTAAATAATATTTTATAAATTAAGGAATTCCAGGTTTTGTTAAAACCTAGTCATAAAAATCTCATACATGCCCAGGAAGTTTTTAAAAGTCAGATCTAAATAAATACTCAACACTGATGTAAATACACTGCCTGAATTTTGGTCTTTCTCTAATAGACAACTAGTCTACAAATGGGAACCTTCACCTTGCCATTTTGAACAAGCCCTTCCTAGAATCCTGTGTTGACATTCAAGGCCTCAAAGTCCATGCAGTGGCCCTACAACACAAGCAACAAATCAGAGTACACTGCAGCGTTTAGTCCTTGCATCCAACAAGCTAACAAACCCACCAGTGGTCACTAGGAAATGCAGGCTGTTCTGCTCTGCCTCCTTTCCTTTCAAACATATTTCATCTACCTAGCCAGGCCTAAGTAATACACATGGTAATCTCTGTGTCAACATTAGCAGAGTAAAAGCCATCTAAAAATGTGAAGCTATTAATTACATATAAGACACCCAATTAAAGTTGACAGATTTATAAACTGATATAATCACAGGTTGTATCTATAGCTTAAAATACAAAAACCATCAAACTTGAGTTTTCATTGTTAGTATGATAAATGCCAGTAAGTTACCAGTAGAGGGCACTCACAAAAGGGAGAAGACCCGGTCACAGCTTTAAGGAAGGCTGCATAACAGTTTCCTTCAAAGTTGCTTTTAAAATAAGACCATTTTCAAGTCAAATGTTTCAGTACAACAGTAGAGTAAGATGACACAATACAGAGCAGCCTTCACAAAAGGTGAACTAAATCCATGTCATACTTTAAAACCAAAATGAGTCACCACTGGGGTAGAAATGTGAGAATCTGAGCAATGTTTAAAGTATAATGCAGCACATAAGGGTTTATTTAACCTCAGAACTACTGATACTCTGACCGGCTCATTCTTTGTTCTAGTTGAGTACCGTTTGAGGACTTCCTATGAGAGTGTTATAGCCCTCTCTCACAAACAAATTATTTCTTTGAAAAACTTTATGGACTTCATAAAAGATAAAACTATTTCAGAACCAAGGTCAAGATGATTCTCATGTACACTGCCCCTAATGTTAACATGTTCTAGGGTCACCTAGGTAGTCCTCTACTATGTATCTGCCATAAAGCAGTCATTATTAAATTAGATTCAAGTCACAGAACACTGATGAATAATAGTGCAGAGGATTATTAAACATTTCCTTAGTTTGAAAGACAGTTACTTTCTCACTTTTAAAAAATACCATAATGGTCATGCAACAGTGGCACACACCCAATCCCAGCACTCCAGAGGCAAAGGTAGGTGGATCTCTGAGTTCAAGGCCAGCCTGGTCTTCAGAGCAAATTTCAGGACAGAAAGAAGCCCTGTGCATATAGATTTATAAACTTATATAATCTCAGGTGATACCTATAGCTTAAAATACAAAAAACAACACATTTGAGATTTTTTTAAAACTCTGTGGGGGGGGCAAAAGTAACATAACAACAACAAAAATACAATAGTGGAAATGCCACTTGTTTTCAGAAATTTTAAATTTTAAATTCAGTTTTACCACTAGTTAGCTAAATATCCTTATGACAGTCAGAACATCTCACAAGTTTATAGCTAAAAAACAAATTTTTCACAACTTCTGTCACTAAAATAAAATTTACTGTTATTATTTAAATTTTTAAAAAACCTTTTCCCATTTTTTAATGTAGAGAAACTAAAGAAATTCCAAAGTACAAGCACTTTACCAACAGACTACAGCCCCAGCCCTTTTTTACTTCTGACTTTAGGACAGGGTCTCACTAAGTAGCCAAGGCTGCCCTTGTCCTCATCTGTAACCCAGGCAGGCCTTGAACTGGAAGCCTCAGAGTAGTTAGTATCTGCTACCAGACCCAGCCCCCAAGAATTTTCCCTCTGACCACATTTTTCATCAATTAAAACTGTTTCTACTTGTGTGAAGTTGGCATTTTCATTTAATCAAGTCTCTTTAAGCTCTTTTGCCTTTCTTATAGGTGAACTACCCCAAGAAAACTCCCATGTCAGTTTCCTGGGAGATCTCAGCGCAGAGATAAGAGGTAATCTCTGACTTTTCTCCAGGAGGCTACACTACCTGAGGGAATGTCAGTTTCAAAGTTCACAGGTCACAGCTCCCCAGAATCCAGTCTTCTGGTTTGGCAGAAATCATAATCAGAGTTAGAAATTTAAATTTATAAACTTTTCTGCCTCCCTTACACATAATGGTTTGCTAGGAGTATATTACACTTTAGCAAGTTCGAGCTAAAGGTTTCCTAAGCAATTTCACTCTGCATTTCTGACCTCATGCCGTATATATATACTCATGAAGCTTTATGACCTGACACATGGGGTATTGCTTAGATTTTCAAGGAAGAGGGAAACTTCCACGCTTCGCATGCATTTTATATTTGATTTGAATGGTAGGACATACCAAGTAACTGTGGACTTTTTGATCTTCCTCAAAGAAAGCAGAACTATGTACATCACTGAACTGACTTGTCAAATAATCGTGTAAACAACAGGACACAGGAGTTGCACTTCACCAATCAAGTCTGCCTATGCTTAAGTCAGATCTTCATAAATAAGCACTCTGCTCTACATTTTGGAGGATGATGCACTACTAAAATTATCTGACATTTCCTAACAGTTATTTAATCAACCTTCAGTGGTCTAAGTTACATAAACATTTTCCCAAGCACACCAATGCCTTCAAAACCCATCTCAGTGTTTCTTCAAGACACAGAGACGGCTAACAGGGCACTGTGACCTATTTAAGATTTCATAGCTACGGATTCCAAAGCTCTAGAAAATTCTTCAGAACTGATTTTTTTCTTTAAATCGGTGCACTATAGTGTATAGAGTAGAGGACTGCCTAGCATAGCACATCAAAAGAGCGGGCTTGACTCCCCAGCACAGCCTAGCATGAGCGCAGAGGCACACAGACCACTCAAGAGGCAGAAGCTGGAGGACCAGGACTTCATGCTAGGCCTCAGCTCCCTGGAGGCCTACCTCAATAAACTAAAGTGGAAAATTAGACCGAAAAGTAAAAGCTAGGGCCTGGGACGTCTTTACATGGCAGTAAAGCTGTCTAGGAGACAACCTAACCCTAATGAAGGCTACTTCAAAGGCAAGGTAACACTCGTTTGTTGCTTCACTGATGGGACATTTCATGTACTTAGATCACACACAACTGTGTGAACAGCCTTGTGAAAACTGTGGACAAGCAGTTCAGGAACAGCCCCTCCTGCTGGCCTCGGAGGGTGAACAAACCCTTCTCCTCTGCAAAACTTGAACCTATCGTCAGCAATAGGACTCACCACCTGATTTCTCAAAATCTCTTCCAGGTTTTTATTTTATTACTTAGCGGTAAGCCTTTAATTGGCTAAGATTTTATGAAATAAAAAATGTCTGAAAATAATCCTGACGATCTTACTCCTCCACCATCAAATGATTGTATTTTTCTAGTATAATCAAATTTTCTCTGTCGCATCAAAATTCTAAGAAACCCATTAAAATAAAATGCATTCAAAAGAATAACCTGCACTGGGCATAGTGGTACACATATTTAATCCTAGCATTTGGGAGGCAAGGGGGGGTAGATGGGTCTCTGTGAATTCAAAGCTAGCTTGGTCTATATGGTGGGTGAGTAGTGTGTTCTAGAATAGTCAGTTACATCCTGAAAACCTGACTCAAAAATACCAAAGCAACAAAAAAAAACAAAACAAAACAAAACAAAACACCCATAGGTACCTACCAAATGCAAAGCTATATTCTCAACTCAAACTCTCAGAAAAGCATGAAGTATACTCATCAGACTGCAAACGCCAGGGCACAGTGGGCGCCTTGGGCCTCACTCTTCTCTTCAGAGCCTTGCATCTCATGTGGTTACCACTTAGTTTAAAGCCTTGAAACTAAAGGACTTCACATATAATGGAAATAACTTCCACTGTAATTTTCTAATAAATTAAAAAATACCAGATACATCTTTCTATGCAAAGGATGAGTGTCTTGCACAAATCATATGAAGAAGAGAAAACAAGATTTACCTCTATCGTAGGATCATATTCATCCACAAAGTGATTCTGAATTAGCTGTATCGTCAAGGCGCTCTTGCCTACGCCACCAGCTCCAACTACCACAAGTTTATACTCAGTCATTTTCAGCGGGCCTTATAATAAAAATAATGAAAATGTAACTAAATTAGAACATGTCTCACGAAAGATCATCATATGCTCTAATCAATACTTTAACACTCGAGTACCCTGTAAATATAACTCTAAGGTATTCAGAGATTAGCGACCGCAGGTGCACACAGGAGTAAACTGTACTTATTTACAACTCCCCTCACACACATAACCACATGGGGAAACCAGTTCTTTCGTCCTGTAACCATTCAGCCCGTTTGATCTAACAGCCAGACTGCTGTTCTGTAGCAGCTAATGGCTCTCAAAGGAATGTATCATGACCTAACTAAGCTCAAGTGCCCTGCACAGTGCTCTGTACCCTGTGGACACACCCGCAAAAGCCTGCTGACAGCTAACCCCACACCCACCCTTGCAGTATTCCTTGACCACTGGATATTAAAAGTTACAAGTAGGTAGCCTAAGAGCATCTTTGTCGGAGCAAACAATTGTAGAAATCTGTTTTAAAGTCATCATAGCAGTTCTCCTGAAATAGGCAACAAAATAGAGTCTGGTATCAAAACTGAATTGTTGTCAGGAAAGAAAAACCTGATATCTGGTGACATTTTAATCTTTAAGGAACCTGCAGGGAGAGCAAAGGTAAAAAGTAGAAGGGTTTTAAGGGTTTGGGATCAATTGTAACATATAATCCTATACGTGTACTAAAAACCAGTACCTCCGCACAAGGAAAATGGAACTGAGTAAAGCTCAGAGATAAACTGTACTTTTGGCAAGGAAAAGCTGAGAAGGATGTAAGAGTTTCTCAGTAACCCTGCCACTTTTACTCTGCTTACGGCAGGGCGGCTCCTAACAGGTGCAGCAAGTACTGGGAATTCAGTTAACAGCCCCCAAATAGGAGAAAATCTCTTACTGTTTTAGTCGCTATTGCAAAGTTTTTTTTAATAAAGTGAATATATTCATTTTATCTCCTTTCCCTCATATAATAGATATCATTGCAAAAAAGGGGGGATGTAAAAGAGTGGCAATAAAACCACAGTTATAAATAGTTCTAGGTCAATATATGTGTACGCAGTGTAAATAAGCACAAAGCGCACAGTCTATTTATTGATAACCAAGAACCACTCACCCAGGCAGACTGTTTTTCCTGCCCTCCTCACCTTGTACCTCAGCCCCTCAGGAACTGTAGCGCAAGGTCAGACAACCACTGTTGCAGACATCATCCAACTCCCTGCCCTGCTTCGCCCCACCTAGCCTTACTTGATGCTTGTTGGGGCGTCCTGGGAGCCATTACGAACATAACTTACCTGTTTGCCTTGAGCTTTATAACAAATGTAGGCCACGGCAGATGGGGCAGATGAAAAATGTGACCTTTGCCCTTCCCTCCCACAAACAGTGTGGCTAGCTTACAAGAGCGCTGGAGGAACCCAATGGGCTCCCAAGACTGAGTGGTGAGGAAAGAGGCTAAAAGCAAGTGGCTGTCTGCGCTCTGATCCCAATACAGAGACCGCAGATGCAAGTAGGCGAGAACACAGTAAAACAATGGCACTCTGATGCGCTTTGTAGAAGTTACTTCCCATTAAAATTGCATTCCTGTTACCAACAGCCATGCTATTTCTAGTTGTCAATGAACCGGGAAATAAGAATGGTTACTTCTAATGTTGTAGTCACTGGTATGTCCCCCCACAAAGGACTTCTGAGACCCTCGCAAATTGTTTAAGGGTGTAAAGAAGTCCTACAGACTCAAGTGTTGGCTAATGTAGGGCACACCATGGACAGATACCGGATCAAGTGTGTGGCGGGAGACATCTCCGGGTACTTCTTTACACACTAGTTTTAGCAGAAAATAAAAATCCTCAAGTCAGGTCTTTAAAACCTAGTAATATTTATGCCCACTAGAGAAAAATAAAAAATAAAAGTCTTATTCGGGAAGATATTAAGCCAGAGAGAGGTCCCCTCCCGACCAGTTACAAAAGACAGAGAAGGGGGTGACAGGGACGAGGTTCCAACAATTTTACTAACAACACCAACAAGGTGTAAAATTAAATTACTGCCATCTCTTAAAACCAAGGATGTTTGAGGATGGCTACCGTTTCAAAGAAAATAAGTATATCGACACCAAGCGTATTGGATGTCTATTGTCTATCACATGTGGGGTCAGCAGTCTGGCCCTTCCTGTTGGACGGACGGACACCGGTCATTCGGTTCATTCCCAAGTGATTATTATAAACAGACTTTTTCTTTCAGCGCGTCTTCTCGATGGCTTTCCCAAGACAAACGCAGCGTGTCGTCGCGTTTCTAGCCCCTAGCCTTGCCTTGCTGAGGATCAGGCTGCACCTAACCAGGCCGGCCGGGGACTTGGGCTGTAAGGCGGCGGCCCGCCCGGGAGGATTTCACCGGGGTCCGCCCGAAGGCTACCATGAACTCCGGAGTCGGTTTGGACGGGGCAGGGACCAGCCCGCCAGGCTGGGGGGCAGGCGGCCGGCAGGAGTCCAGGTCCACTCGCTCGGGGGCAGCCCCCTGCCTCGGCGCCCTCCCTACACAAAGCCTCACGGACGCGCCGCCCTAACTTTGCTGCCCTTCGCCGCGGGTGGCCGCCCCGTCCGCGCGGGGGCCGGGAGGGCGTGGGCCACCTGTTCGGCCACCCCCGTGTGCCTCCGCCTCCTCCTTTGTGGCCGCGGCAATGTCACCCACGGCCGAGCGTGGGGGAGGGGCGGCCGCGAACTCGCGGCGGGGGCGGCCGCGCCCCCACCCGGTCCGCCGAGGCCCGGGGCGCCCAGCCCTGCCCTGCCCGGCCCTGCCCTGCCCGGCCCTGCCCTGCCCGGCCCTGCCCTGCCCGGCCCTGCCCTGCCCTGCCCGGCCCTGCCCGGCCCTGCCCGGCCCGCGGCCGCCGCCGGGGGCTCGCGCCGGGCCGGGTGGGGGCGCCGCCCGCCCGCCCGCCCGCCCAGTAGAGCCGCCGGGCTCCGGGCTCCGGGCTCCGCCGAGGCCGGGGCGGCGGGCGGGCCGGGCCGGGGAGGAAGCGCGGTCCCCGGGCCGAGCAGCGGCGTCCGCCCGGCCTGTGCGCCCCGCGCCCGCCTCATTCAGCGCCGCGCGCCCGCCCGCCCGCCCGCCCGCCCGGCGGCCCACGAGCCCGCCCGCCCTACCTCCCTCCGCGCCGGAGCCGCCGCCCTCAGGCCCGCGCCGCGCTCGCTCCGGGTCCGGAATGGCGCGGGGGCCGGATCGGGGCCGAGCAGCCGCCTTCCTCCTCCTCCTCCTCCTCCTCCGCCGCCGCCGCCGCCGCCGCCGCCGCCGCCTCGGCCGCCGCCGCCACAGCGCTGCCTGCCCAATCGAGCCCCGAGCGCGCGATGGGCCCGCGGGCGGGAGCCAGGGAGAGGCGGGCGGGCGCAGAGCACGGCGATCGACGCGCTCGGCGCTCCGCGCTGCCTCGGCCGCGCGCGCGGGAGGGAGGAGCTGGGAGCAGGGGGGAGGAGGAGCAGAGAGGAGGAGCAGGGAGGAGGAAGGAGCAGAGAGAAGGGAGAGGGAGGAGGGAGGAGGAGCAGGGAGGAGGAGGGAGGAGCAGGGAGGAGGAGGGAGGAGCAGGGAGGAGGAGGGAGGAGCAGGGAGGAGGACGGAGCGGCGGCCCGCAGGGTGGGTGGCGCCCAGGAGGCGGTGTCGCCCGCGGACCCCGGCCCGGCTGGCGCTCCAGGCCGCCCCGCCCCGCCCCGCCCCGCCCCGCCCCCGCCCCGCCCCGCCCCGCCCCGCCCCGCCCCGCCCCGCCCCGCCCCGCCCCGCCCCGCCCCGCACGCGGCCGCCCGCCGCTCCCCCCCCGCCCTCCGCTCCCCCCTCCGCTCCCCCCCCTCCGCTCCCCCCCGCCCTCCGCTCCCCCCCCCGCCCTCCGCTCCCCCCCCTCCGCTCCCCCCCCCGCCCTCCGCTCCCCCCCCGCCCTCCGCTCCCCCCCGCCCTCCGCTCCCCCCGCCCCCCTCCGCTCCCCCCGCCCTCCGCTCCCCCCCGCCCTCCGCTCCCCCCCCGCCCTCCGCTCCCCCCCCTCCGCTCCCCCCCGCCCTCCGCTCCCCCCCGCCCTCCGCTCCCCCCCCGCCCTCCGCTCCCCCCCGCCCTCCGCCCCCCCCCCCGCCCTCCGCTCCCCCCCCCGCCCGCCGCTCCCCCCCCCCCCCCGCCCCCGCCTCCTCCCCCGGCAGGGTCTGGCTGTGTGGACCAGGCTGGCTCTCTGCCCCCGAAACCTCGAGCAGAGCTGCTTTGCAAGAACGGCCTTGCTTGCTCCGCAGGACGGATCTGAGGACACCCCACACCTCCCCTCGGGCCGCGAGGCAGAAGACATTCATTCATTCATTCATTCATTCATTCATTCATTCATCGGTAACACCCAGAGTTAAGCCGGGAGGGTTAGACGCGCATTCCCGGGGACTGCACTGAGGCGCCCTGGAGAAAACCCCACCGATCCAGGCCCGGACAGGACAGCCAGGGCCTGGGCCCAAGTCACTGCCCACCCACCCAGCACACCAGCAGCCCGCGACACTGTTCCTTGAGAGCCCTGGAGTGACGTCAGCCGGCCAGCTGTCACTCTTGGTAGCCCGCCTCCCCCTCCCAGCACCGGGTGGGAGGCCCCGGGAAGAAGAGGCCCACTCCGCGCCAAGTAGCTGCTACACGTTTTGCACAAACTTTGCTGCTCAGCGATCACAACTCCCCCACGAGTTGGAGTCCCCTCCACTACTGAAGAGAGTAGGGAAGAAATGCAGTCCACGCTCACACTGCTACACTGGGTGCCCTGCCTGTCAGAGCAGCTCCGGCCGCCTTGAGCTGCCATGGGCTCACACTCTGCTGACCCTGAAAGCAGAGTCCTCCTAAAACTCTGGCCCGCCTTAGATGACTGACAGGCTGCCCCCTTAGATGACTGACAGGCTGCCCCCTTAGATGACTGACAGGCTGCCGCCTTAGATGACTGACAGGCTGCCCCCTTAGATGACTGACAGGCTGCCCCCTTAGATGACTGACAGGCTGCCGCCTTAGATGACTGACAGGCTGCCCCCTTAGATGACTGACAGGCTGCCGCCTTAGATGAC